AGTGTGAAATTAGATGTTGATGGAAGGTACGTTGTAAGCCTCCTGTGGATACAAAGCCATCCTCCTTTGCCAACTTGCAGAATGAAGGATAAAGGGCTGCATTAATTCATTGAAGAGGAGTGGAAACTTAGAAGCATACGAAGAAGTGTTTAGAGAGTGGCTTCAAGAAGACATTATTGAAGAAGTAACTCCTGTAACGAAGAAAGTATACACTACCTACCTCACATGGCAGTAGTAGAAGAAATTTCCACTACGAGAGTGTGACTTGTTTTTGGTGGATCAGCCAGAGAAAAAAACACATCTTCTATGAACAATTGTCTGGAAAAGAGCCCCAACACCATCGAGCTCATTCCAGCCATCATGAATCAATTTAGAGCACAGAAAATTGTTGTGGACATTTGTACAGCCTTCCTACAAATTGGACTGAACAAGAGTGATCAAGCATATCTAAAGTTTTTATGGTGGGAAGGAGGTGATCCTGCCAAGCTTAAAGTTTTCCAGCATAGATGGGTTGCATTCAGACTTTCTTGTTCCCCTTAACTTTTGGGAATAACCAATTGATTTCATTTACGGAATGCTTCTCACCGTTTTTAAAAAACAGCCATCAAGCTGTTGGAATCCTTTTATGAGGATAACTGTGTTACCAGTGTGGAAAATAATAAGAACTTGAAAAAGTTATTTGAGAAATCCAAACTGGTTCTTAGCACAGCCAAATAGGAGCTTCAAGGGTGGGAGCACAGTTATAATCAAGAATCCGAAGACCCTTTTCCAAAAAATGAAAAGAATATTCCAGTTCTAGGGCTTATGTGGAACTTAAAGAATGATGCTTTGATGGTAGATTTACGAGAAAATGTTGATGACGATATGGCTGTGACCAAAAGAAAAATCCTGTCAGCCATACAAAAAATCTTTGACCCCCTTGGCTTCACCTGTCTTGTTACTTTGGGACCAAAAGTCCTCCTACAAGAGTGCTGGAAATTGAGAGTATCATGGGATACTGAACTTCATACCTCCATTGCAAAGAGGTTTGAGAAGTGGAGACAGGAACTTTCTAAGCTGAAAGAAAAAGAAATTTCTCAATGTCTTATTCCCAACTGTGAAGTACCAAGAAATCTAACATTGCATATATTCTGGGATGCAAATAAGATAGCTTATGCTACCAGTGTTTTCTTACGAAGCGATACCTAAACTTCAACGACCTGTCAACTTGTTCAGGCACAATATAGAGTTGCACCAATGAAATCTATTTCCATTCTGAGAATGGAACTTCTCTCTTGCAACATTGGAGCTAGATTAGCTCAGAGTGTGACTAATGACCTAAAAATGGAAAATGTGCGGAAGTTTTTCTGGGCTGACTTGGCAAATGCTTCGTATTGGATCAAGGAAAATGAAAACTGGGCTCCCTTTGTTTTTAACCAAGTGCAAGAAATTCATTCTATGACAAATCCTGAAGACTCGCATCACATTCCAGGTCGACTGAATTCAGCAGATCTTTCATCACGTGGGTGTGATGCCGAAACATTACGAAAAAAAATCTTGATGGTGGGAAAGAATATCACTGCTGAAAAAAACCAATAGAAGAATGGCCAAATTCTAGCATAGTTCCTGATTTTGGTATAATAAATTTAGAAAAAAGAAAGATCATTCTTAGCACAATTAATGATGAAGAGTCATCTCAGGGAAAATATTATGACCAATTTTCTTCATACAACCAACTTCTTAGAGTCACTGCATGGATGTATTGATTTTTTACCAATTGTAAGGTTGAAAAGTCTACTCGAATTTCCAGAATCTTGACACTAGAAGAAATAAATAAGGCAGAAATCACGTTGTTGAAAGTTGTACAGAAGGAAAAGTTTTGAGGACTGGATGATAAACACTTGAAAATAATTCAGTGTTATGCTAATTCTAATGGTATTTTTAAATTTGAGACTTGAATCTTAATGAGAAAAGATACAAGAAATTTCTGATATCTGACAATACTTCCCTGTAATCATCCAGTAACAGAAAAAAATCATCCGGACCAGACACATGCAATTGCACCATGCAGGAGTTTAAATCCTGATGAGCAACTTAAGAGAAGATTTTTGGATTCTTAAATGCAGGAAGACAGTAAGAAATGTAATTAGGAACTGTGTAAGATATAAACAATTTAATTTCCAGCCTAAACTGATCATCGAAGTTACTCTCCCAGAATATCGCATAAAGGTAGCTGCAGCTTTCAAAGTCTCAGAAATAGATTACTCTGGCTCATTAATCCTAAGACATGGCCAGAAAGCTTGGATTGTTATATTTACCTGTGCCATTTACCAAGCTGTACATCTGGAGTTAACTACATCTTTATCGACAAACCATTTTTTGCAAACTCTTACATGTTTCATCGCTCGAAGGGGGTCGACCTTCCATCTTTTACTGTGACAATGGTTCTAATTTTTCAGGAGTTGAGAATTTGAAGAAAATTGATTGGGATGTCATTTCCAAATACAATGGATTTCAAAAAATCATTTGGAAATTTAATCCCCCATCTGCCCTGTAGTGGGGTGGGTGATGGGAATGTTTGATAGGTATAATGAAAGAAATTCTACGAAAGGTTCTAGGAAGAAGTTCACTAAATTTAGAAGAAAAGAACACCTTTTTGTGACATTGAAGGTGTGATAAATCAGCGACCTTTAACCTATATTTCAGAAGCTGTTGATGATTTAACTCTACTTACCCCTTCTATGTTTTTGCATGACTTTAAAGAAGCAGAAATCCCAGAACTTGATGTTCTGGATTCATCATCTCTAAATAAAAGGCATGTTTACCGACAACATGTGAAACAAGATTTACGAAAACAATTTCGTACTGAGTATTTGGGCCATTTATGCCAATCATCGAAATCTCCTAAGAATCAGAAACCCATCCAAATTGGTAATATTGTTCTGGTTTCTAGTGACGTCAAGAAAACTGAATGACCTCTGGCCAGGGTGATCAAACTTTATCCTTCTAAAGATGAACAAGTTCATCTGGTAAAAATAAAAGTGGAGAATTTTTCCACCCAGTGCTCAGGTTACCTCTTGAAGTGACTGATAAAAGTGACTTTGTAATACCTGTAGCCAAACAGGATTCCATTTCGAATGAACCAAACACTGTTGAAGAACATCTTTCAGAGACCGCTTCTGACAATCCAGTACTAGCTCAAAAGATAACTCCTTCTAAGCAAAGAACTGTTAATGACTTTTTTTCCCAGATACTTCCTGGGAAAAGATTTAGATATGGATGATTAATTAAACCTAGAATTAGGGTTTGAGATTCCCTGGTTCGAATCTCAAAGGTGGAAATATGTTGCAATAAGTGATGTTTTCACCTTTGAATTCAGTTTTTCGCATGCACGCACGTAATGGAGTGAACTGAAAGGAAAAGATTCTGCAAGTTTTCAACGTGCGCTCGAGGAGTTACGATGTAATATATGTTCTTTTTGTTGGTTTTAAAAAGATTTAAGAAAATATATGTCCAGTTTTGATAAATTTGTTACAATGTTTTCGTAAAACTTGTGCACAGATTAAATATAATAGAAAAAGCTGATCCTGAACTCTTGATGTTTTATGTTGTATAAATGGTTTCCTCGAAAATTTTAGATATCCAGAAACAAACAACTGACATATCCCAATGATTCAGGTAAGTGCTGTTTCATTTACTTCCTATCTGAATACTTTCACCACAGAGAAAGTATATTAATATTGCCTATGGACACAATAGTATATGCGAAAAAACTATCTGCTCTTTTCACAATTTTCCATCACTTCAATTTATTTTTCAACTTTAAATTTTAATGTTTGGTTAGCTGTTATCATATAAAAAGGCAACAGCACTAAAAATGACAACTTTGTAATCATAACAAATATCCCAAGCACATTCTTACCTCTCACCATCAAATGTGAGCATTCCCAGATACACCAATAATTTCATGACTCCAGCATTTATTCAGATACTTGCTAACTGAGGCTTCAGCGATAGGTATATTTTTTCACCAACACTTCAACATTTCGATGCTTAGTCTTCCTCAACTTCTTCATAATGAGTGTTTTTTCATAAGATGATGTCATCATGGCTACCTGTTCTGTACTTTTCACTTTTATACTTAATGCAGAATACTTTAAATTTACAGCTTTCCACACAGATGAACTTGTAGTGCAATAAATTTCATTAATAGGGAAGAAAGATCAGAAAATAAGAAACTTTATCCATTTGGAAAATTTTTGAAAGGAAGATCATTTCATCCCCAACCGCTGCTCAGTATCAAATCAAAATACATTTTTGCTTCCCTAGATGTGTTTATTGTAGAGCTTTCTTGTAAGGATTTATTAGGAACCCAAAAAATACTGAGGCAAAGATAAAAAAAATAATAATAAATAAAAAACAAGGCCGGTGACGGCATCCTAAAGTAAACGTAATCATTGAGCCCAGTAACCTCTTTCCTAAAGTAAAGGTAATTAATGGTATCTTAATAATTAAATATGAATTCCTTTAACAGTTGGTAGTTTTTTATTTAGAACACAACTGCTTAAATTCCAATAAAATTTTTAAAAAAATCAGTCAAAGACAGTGATAAAAGTTTGTGATATCCAACTTTCATACAGTCAGAAGTTTGCTATATATAAAGTAACATTCTACCTATAAGAATTGGGCAGAATTTAAAGTTGCATTCATTATAAATCAGATATTTTAAAAAATATTTACTTATATATTCAACTATGTTAACCTTTCTTTTTTAAATATTTATGATTTTAATAAATTTAATATTTATTTTTAATATATAAATTTTTATCTCTCATAACTGGATTTTAAAAAATGCATATTTATTAGACCTTAATCTACAAAATATCCCAAAATAAACATTTTCACCCTAATAATTGTTTTAATCTAAAACAACCAATACTTTACAATAAAAAAAGTACAAAGAAAGTACAACAAACTTTGAATATAAAAAAACAATAATTGAAAATTACTATAGTACTTACAAATGTTTCTTTGGTTACAGCATCGCCATTTTCATCTGTAGCTAGTTCTTCAGAAATTATAACAGGGTTAGTAGTAAATTCGGATTCTACTGATTTTGGAAGTAGTAATTCTTCTTCACTTGCGCACTGAAATGATAACCAGGAGAAAATTTAAGCAGTCTACAAGACTTAATATCTTTTCACAATTTCAAATACATATGATGAAAGAGATAAAATTTATGTCATAAGAAGCTTAATTATTTTGCGTTTGCAAACTATTTTCTTCCCTGAATTCATTCTGTGTCTTCTTTGAATATGTTTAAAATTTGGAATTTTATTTTTTAACCACTCAATATTTTAAAAAAGCAGTGATCATGCTTCAAATTAATATTCACATCTTTAATAAAATATAAGGGACAAATTGCATCACTTGTAATAATCTGAATTTCATACTGTGCTTATTCATCAAAGTTCATATTAGTTCAGTCCTTTTATATAACTTTTTCCTTTTTATTAGCCCTACGCCATCAATTTATGACACTTTGTGTTGACTGCACTACATACTAATCAATTTTCTGAAAAATGATATTTTAAAAAACTCTATATTTTGCCATTATTTTCTTTTTTATGGATTTTTGAAGGATTCTTTATTTTCAAATACAATAAGGAAGATTAAAAGTTTTCTTTTAATTAAAACGCTAACAAAACAATTTTGGTGATTATGGGATATCAATATATTATTTTAAGTCAACAGCCATTAAATCCAGATTTTAAAACTGCTCTTTGTGTCAGAAAAATAAAAACACAGGTTTTACTTTTTCAAGTATATGTTCACATACATCACACAGATTCCTTTAAAAATTTAATAATTTGCAGTTAACTATTTCTAATCAAAGCAGAAGGCATAATGAAAGTAAAGGTATCTGGAAAGAGCATTTCTGGCAAGAAGTTCCCAATCTTATTTTGATTACATACTCAATTGAAAAGTATGACAATAATAGAAGTTATGTTTTTGCAATTACAGCAAAAATGTGCCTAGATTTGATTCAGACATATCTTGAAGATCTTTTTTAAGCACTTGATATGCAAATAAAATTTGAAGCTGAGGTACATAAAAATTTGAATTAATTTACTGCTAGACTAATTTGCAGGTATCTAAAATTTCATTTTAATTTTTCAAATGTAGCCAAAAAAAAAAAACTAAAGAAAATTTTATATGAAACTAATAAAAATTTCATGACACCTAATATGCATTAGAATTTATTTTTTCAATAATAATAAGATACATCCCAGATGCCATTTTTTGTCAAAGGGCTAAATATACTCTTAGAACCAAAGAAGGGGGGAATCTACTAAATTATAAAATGTCCCCATTCGTAAATCTTACTTGCTTTGTATTGATACAATATTTAGGTTCTTGAAGCTTCTGTAATACCATTCATAACTTTTGGCTGACACAAGCAAATCAGCATAACTTAGAGTAACATCATATCCTCCCCAATACAACGATGATTAGAGCAGGCCATCTATCATTAGCCATAGGTTTGAATCCCAGAAAAGGCCTGTTGATCCTCATAATAACTGACACATCCTGGATAATCTGCTGATCCAAAAGTCCTCAAGAGCTTGGTGATAGAGAAGTGGAAGTACAAGATCTCCAGATTGCCCTATACATAGTTTTTTTCAATGAAAGTTAAGAGAGAGCTGAACTAAGTTGTTTTATCACCAAAGATGCACAAATAGTATCTGTCCAATTATAAGCATGCATCTCAAAACCAGTCATGATTGATTAATTGAGAGGCTACTACAGTGGCTTCGACATTTGGGTAAGCAAAATACCACATGACAGTACTTGAATACAAATATATGAACAATAAGTGAAGATATAATCACTTTGTATAGACTACTGACCCATGTGTACTTTATATAAAAGTTCCCAGCAGATCATGAGTATAATGACTCTAAACCAGTTCTTCTCATAATGTTTTACCCCACGCATCCCTTTCATCACTGCTAGATCATTTCTCCACTCCTTTCCAAAACTCAAAAAATACTTATATAAATTTACCTAAGTTCAAATTTTTTTAATGTATTTTATAAATTAAACAACAGTAAGTATAGAAATATTGTTAAATACTAAAAGTAGCTTTTTATATTCACAAATTAAAACTAAATACTTAACAGTTAAATAAAGGGCTGACTGCATCCCAGCTGAAACTATAAAATTCCCCCCGTTTGAGGAAACTTGCTCTAAATCTTAACAGTTTAACTTCTTAATAACACAAGAAACAGCCCAAAATTATAAAATAAATTTCTTTCTTAAAGACATTTTAATTTTGGAGTAATTAAAAAATAATATTGTTTACATTATTTAAAGGATTAATGAATAAAATTTTCCATGTAATTTTATTCCAGAATTTCGTAATTCTACATCGATTTTTATTTCTTTGAATTTAAAATAATATTAATGTATATATTTTGCTGAAAAATAATTATTACATCATCATCATTAGGCTTATAGTCTTCATCAGATGAATTTTCATCAGAAAATTCCTCTTCTAAAATTTTCTTGGACAGAGTTTCTTTTTTCTTTATTGGAGAGGAAACTGGCCAAGGAAGCTAAAAAAAAAAAAAAGGTATAATATTTGTAACTCAAAAATAATCTGAATGATCTGTTTTTAATTACTACAAAGGTTTACTAGATGTAAACATCAAAACTTTTAGCATTTTCATAAATCATCAGGAAAAAGCACTTTATTTCATAATTCTAGCATATAATACTCAATAATCTAATATAAACTCCCTATTACCAACTTTAAATGCATAAAGTTTTTTACAACAGTGATTACTAGCTTTATATCTTTCAATATTTATGCTAGATATCATACAAAAGTAATTTCAGTTATATAGTTAATAATAATAAAGTACAGAATTTTATGAAAACAATTCCAGTACTGATGTTTAGATGGTTTTCTAATGACAAATCTAAATTTTGATACTATTTTCAATGAGAGTGAATTCTAATTAGTAAAATATTTGTTTTGCTTTAATAGAGGAACTACAGTACAAAGTCCAAAATCTGAATGTCCACTTCCAGAATGATCTAACATCTGGATAACCAGTAATTTTTTAACAGAGTGTAGAAACAAAGAATACCTGTAAAAAAGTGCTGGTGTGTCATAAACGTGAAATTTCTCCTGACTGAGATTCCCATATGTCACTTTCAAACATCTGCTGGCTAGAAAATTGTTCTGTGCCCAATGATACATTGATAATATGTGTCAAAATTAAGACAAAATAGCAAACTTCTTTTGGCAAACATTTTGAATGCTATAGAAAGCAAAATTTTCCAATTAACCAATTAACTGGGGCGCTCTCGTTTAAGAGTGCGCACTGTTTTGTGTCGTCAGAATCGAGCCATGACGAATATATTTGTCAATCACAGAGTAAGTTGCACTGGTAAGATATTAGATGAAAAAGATGGGTTTATTTCATAAAATTGAAAATTTTATTACTAATATTTACTTATTTGGCATATATTACATATGTATTAAACTAAAAATGCAATAAATTAAATTAAATATTATACATGTAAAAGTAAGAATTTAAATTCCTGCTGTGGAGTGATATTCAGCGAAACAGGGTACTATACACAATGGGACTTTGCAAATCGAACACCAGTAAGGCGACTCCTTCCTGATCTTACATTTGTAGCAATGCGAACACCTTCTCGTAGGGCAGTATTTTTTTTTTTTTTTCGATGTTCCGGGTATATAATACGGAACATGATTCCCACCTAATTGGCTTATATTATGTCTAAATGGCCGAGTTTGTGTCAATTAATTCCTTTCAATTGGATACGTCACAAAAGTGTCTTCAATAAATTTGAGCAAAATGTTGATACACGATAATGTTCCATTATTTTGTTTATATAATATTAATGTATTCAGACACATAATGTCTAAGAAATGGAGAAATATCTTTTTGTAGTACTTTTTGAGTCGTTTCTTGCTGTGGAGTGCGCTATGATAATTCCATTGCTCATACCCACTCCACCCATTTTTTTATTATAATCAATCACTAGCTCCAGTTTCTTTGTTTTTATTTTTCTTTTCTCTGTTTCTATTACATTGTCATTATGTACAGTACTTACTAAATAAACATCCCTCTTACCTTTCCATTTCATTAACATAATATACACAAGATGAGTATACTCGTCAAAGCTAATCTTTAGAATATGGGAACAGGTAGTTTGGTGACATTTTAGCAAGGCGATAAAGGTTACTACTAGCTAGGACTTTAGCAATAATCTGAGAAGTACACAGTTCGAATCACAGATTATTTTGTCTCAGAGAAATGAGAGATCATGAGACATGTAATGTGACATTTTGCGGAAAATTCCAATGGGGATTTTAGCTAATAAGCACTTAGAAACAATTTCGCTGCTAAAGTGCAGAATCGCCCATTTATTTGTTTAGCACTTTTTACAAGAGTAAGAAGAATTCAATTTTTGTCAATTTTCTTTGACTTTTTAAGTGAAAACAGATCGACGTGCACATGGATAAAGTCAAGAGTGTGCACAATGCCATTTTTGTGCAATTCTGGAATTTTTTTTTTAAAGTGAAAATAGGTCGACGTGTATATGCAATTCTTAAAAACGCAGCAAGCAGTGGGCAATTCTACACTTTCTCCCAATGATTAAGCACTTTTGTTCCATAAAAGTTCTAGCATAAGCGTAATTCGGCTAGCAGATTGTTGGAAAAAATTTTGAGGGAAAAAAAAAAAAAACATGCCTTTACTTCGTGAAAACAAAATGGAGTCCTAAAAAAAACTAGCAATTTGTTGTAGCAGGGTTGGTCGGCAAAGTTTCGCCAAAAAATTGCCAAGTTACCATAATCTAAGTTTCACTCTCATCAATATTAAAGAGACCACATGTCCCGATTTTGGCAGGACAGTCCCGCGTCCCGCCGCTTTTTAAAAATGTCCCACTTTTTAGAAAACCTCTGCATTTCTTATTTTAAATGTACTGTACAAATATATTCCCTTTTATTTATTAATTATTATAGTAAATATAAAGAAATAAAAAATACATAAATAAAGAAACATGTAAAATGCATGCAGATTAAACTAAATTAGGCGATGTAATGAGTTAGATTTATTGTGTGGTGTTTTATTATTGTCGTTACGTCTCGCCAAGGAATATGTATTGTTAACGGAGGAACAGCCAGCATTAGCTGAAGGGCTATTTGCTTTCCACACAATAACCACAATCAAAGTTTCAGATCAATTGATTGTACGTCGCAAATGATCAAAACATTGTATGACAAAAAAAATTGCATATACAAGGACAAAAACCAAAGCAATTATTTGTAATGTTTCTTCACTATATTCGTTTTCACAATTGCAGAAAGAATTACATAAATGTACATTTATATCCATATATTATGATGATTCCAACCACAGATTTTTAAAATAATTCCCACATGTTACACTTTTTGACCAGAAATGGAAATAAATTAGAATATTAGACTTGCCGGGTGAAAACTTCATAATAATTTTTGATTCATAAGTACTATTTTAAAAAAGAATAATTGAGCAGTAAAGTTATTGCTATTGTGAGGCTAACACAAATGCAAATTTTGGTGGGAAGCTAGAAGATAAAAGAAGCATCAATATTGTTTTACAACTTAACGGAACATTGTGAATTAAAAATTATTGGAGTAGGTTGTGCAGCATTATATACTTATATTCAAACATCTGACACTTCCAGTGGATTTGAAAAATTTTGCAAAAAATTATTCGTATTTTATATATATATAACTGTGCAATTGAAAGTTTGAAGATTTTTGTAAAACGCAGAAATCAAATATAAAAGATTATTGATTACAGAAACACGATGGCTAGCTCTTTTACAGCTGTAGAAAATATTTTAATATAAGTACCATTAAATCAACTTTTTATCAAATAATAAATGTCCAAGAATATTGAGCTTTTTTGAAAATGACAAATCACAAATTTGGCTCAGTCATCCACAACCAAGCATTATTTCACAATGCTGTGGGAAATTATGAAGGGGACAAATTTCAATTACGGAAGTGTCAAATGAAATCAATAATAAAAACAAAATTGTGAGAATTGAACGATTACATTCCTTAGTTATTCGAAAGGACATCACTAGGTTGGAAGAACAAGGTGCCATTAAACGACCTGATTTTCTGAAAGATACGATACTGAAGAGAAAATTAAATGTTGGTTGTCTGCAAATGTGTAGATGGCCAAAAAATGCACGGAGTTATTCCTTCATTTTAAACAGAATAATATTCCTTATGAAAATATTTTGAAAATTGTAGAACATGTGCCCTCCCTTCCAGGAACAAATGCAGCAACAGAACGTGTTTTTTCTAGTATCAATAAAATATGAACAATTGAAAAAAATGCAGTTGAATACTAAAACTTGAAAATCTGTATTAAGCATAAAATATACCATAATTTCCGGAAGAAACGCTGTGGCGTTTACGTGTTTAAAACGTAAATTTTCGCGGGTCGGCCGTTTCTACCATGCGGCGTTAGGTGCACTAAAAATAAATATTCCTATGATGGTCATTGTACATAGTTTGGATGGCCTGTCTTTGCATAGAGGGTGCTGTTCCCACACAAAAAAACCACTCAGTTGCTTTTTGCGAACGTATTTGTTTACATTCTCCTGAAGGACCTACATGCCTATTCACCCTAAACGAGATCAAACAATAAAATTCTTCCCCCTTTCAAATCAACATTCTCATCAGTTTTCAAATCAACATTCTCATCTGCCATTCGTGAATTCCAGGACCCATCCTCTCTCCCCCCTGCCTTTCTGCAATTTTTTTCAAAGGCAGACACGACTCACCTGCCTCAAATAACGAACTCTGACGTATTTCCCTTTCAGCATGATGGATTTTCTTGGCATTCTGCAAATACAGATCCCATCAGTTTGGGTACAAGTACTTGTTGGATAGTTTTTAATTAGAGAGCGGAAAAATTTTGAAAATGTCTCTAATGGCACAGAAGCTATACTTTCTTATTTAATTTATTTTTGAGTTTGGTTCATTTCATGCATTTTTCTAACTGGTGTCATATATCAGGACTTAGGTGATTTTTGCATCTATATGGCCACGACGATGTCACACGCAATTAATCTGTGCGCGTTTCTGTGTATTTTAATTTTTTTCCGCTATTTCTTGAGTACGGCGTTACGCTGATGCGGCCTTTCTTCCGGAAATTACGGTAATTGACCAATTCAAGTGAGAAATTCACGACATTTTAATAAATGATCAAATCTATTCCAAAAGTATTCACTTGGATAATACATATGACCATGAAGAAAATCATAATTTTTAAAAAATTTTTAATAATAAAAAATATAATATTCAATTTGTAGTTTAACAATTTTTATAGTTACCAATAGTTATAATAATATATTTTTGTATTTTTATAGACAAGTAAATGAATGTATAGAATAAAATATATTATTTTGAATCATCTGCTTTCATAACTAAATTACAATTTTAATTTCATTCCATTTGTCCCGCTTTCTCTCAATGAAAATGTGGTCACTTTAGTTAATATACAAAATTATGTCA